AAAAACAAATGATTGCCTTACAGTTTTTCAGCATTTGTCGACCATATGCAACTGGCCCTTAGGGCTCTACGTTACTATAAGTGTTCCGCCACAAGGGTGTCGCTACATCAAGTTGCAGTAGCATGTAACTGCTGGACTTCTGCCAGACACACAGGCTGTTTGTACTCTGACCCCTTCTATAAAAGTGTATCCATGCGGACTTTCTCAAAGGCAACTAAACATACGAACCAGGAAAGTAAAACAGGATTTAACTCTAATGTTTTGGGGTAGCTTCCAAGAGTGAGATCTTGCAATGCAGCTGGCAAATGTAAATGTGCCATTTAAAATACTGATACAGGATTTGCACAACAAAACGTACGCTGTAAGGAAAACCCCTTTCTTCTTACGTGCACCGATACTGCCGCACGATAAGACAGACGGAAGTCTTAACACTGGTTGCACCGCAACGCGTGATGCGTTTATGCATCCTATGCACTGTAGGTGCTTAAAACAAATGAGTAGTGGCCTGCTTAAATAGTCCCCCCCCCCACTAGGCGACTAAATGCAAGAGACGACGCTATGATACGATACAACCCGGAGTACAGACTTCCTTCTGTCTCATACTAACGCAGTATCGACGTAAAGCAGGTATCCGTGTTTTTAATCATATAGTGACGGATAAGGTCTTTACGGGAAACTCTTTTCCGACCCGACATGGTTTGTGTGTGTAATCTGATGATCACATGACCGTTGATGCACTGTGTCACATCAGCTTTAAATTGTAACGTCAGAAAAGAAATAATGAAGATAAAGAATAAACCGGAGACGCTACACAGTTGCAGATGGTGATGACTAAGTTCGATGATAAATTGCACAATGCAGAGGCTAACTTTCTGGCTTGCTGAAGCATGGGTTTACAGTTGGCATTATGCTGGTGCATCATTCACTCATGACAGGTAGCTAGCCTGTGAAGGTCTGAAATATGATGGCATTTGAACGCAGTCGAAGTAGCAAATAAATGGCACTTTGCCATACTGTTCCAGGAAGCTATTTCAGTGACAATGCCGCCATGGCTTAGAGTATAAGGTTTATTATTATTAATCAATAATCAAAGTGGTGGTTTTTAATCTGTCTTGCAGCATCAGAGCATGTAGTTGCGATGTTCGTAGCTTCCGTCTTTCTTTCAAAGCTGCACTACTACTCGTTGAAACGATGTGCTGTCTGTCCTCGGATGTTTTCATTTCTTGAAAAGCAAAATTTAGCGCAAGCAGTGCTGAATGCTTTATGTACATAACATGAACACGGCTCCGCAGACGAGCAGCGCTGACGTCACTCCTCAGGTGAAGGCTTTATGCTGTTAGAGGTAAAAAATTCTCTTCTGAAACAACATGTTTCTAGCGGCTTCCACTGTTCGACTACAATGCACTCCAGCGACTTCGTAAAGCCTTTAAGCCAATGTTTCTGCAATAGCGTAATCTGCTGTTGCTGGGTCACTTCCTCGTTTTTCCTGAAAACAACCAATGCCTCAATACAATCTTTGTATATCTCGTTGGTCATTGTCCATTAGCAAAAGGGTGTGATTATGCTGCTAAAGGAAAAATGACTCTGAGGTAGCCACACCGCGGCCGTACTCATAAGAGTGGACCATCTTTCACTTCGCTAAGATTGAGTGACCGGTCCTGGATGCAAAATGATCTAGATATTAAACCACGGACAGCGCAAAGGTCTGCAAGCTAGGAGTTTCAAGAATGTAGGGAAAAGCAAACGAATGGGTAAGCGGAAACATTGAGATCTGTGACACTACTGATATTTCAAAAGAACCGGAATAAACCAACACAGTCAGACATGTTTCAGATAGATATTGGCAACTTTAACCGCAAGAGCGCCTGAATCGACCACACAAGAAACAAGTAACCGCCCAAAAGAAAGTCATGAAACAGAAACAAAATAAAATCATGAGGGTTCCTCACCCACTGCGGTTGCCGGGAGCGGAAAATGAGGTCCAATAAAGAAATCTTGAAAGGGTGTTCATTTTCGATTCATCAAGCAGTGGATTAAACTATGTTTATGACGATCATATGATCTTATTGGCATATCAGTGATTTTATTGCGGCGATTGAATACTAACAGCAATGATGTCATAAGCGTCCGTAATAGATACTAATATCCCTACGCCAATATCAGGTATTATGATATAATTATTAAAATAGTACATTTTGCGCCATGCGAGGTATCTAATCAGTATAACAGTGTGAAATTAAATGTATTTAATTGCCTATGCGTCATTTTTCACCTAATCAGACGAAAAATAAGTACGATTCCGGCATAGATACTGCTGCAGGTAAGCTGTTTCTGTCCCAAAGCAAGAGATCATCATTCCTACGCATGATCAGCATGTAAGGTAAGAGACTCGCAATGCGGGTTGTCTTTTCAAATCCACACGCAATTGGTCAAAGAGAAAACTGAAGAAAAAATTGTGAGTATACTGAGCAAGGCTTAAGCTACCACTTAACATCTGAAGCTTTCTTAATTAGTTGGCCCAACCTTTGGAAGAACTTATTTTTTTAATTAACTTTGAAAATTAATATTGTATCCTCAGTTAGCATAACATAAGTCAACTGTTCTAGCTGCCAATTGCAAACATGTGTTATATCCGTAAGTTTCGTAGCATCAGACAAACCAATAATCCAAATTCGCATAATTCCTCATTCCATTTTTGCGGGCCAGCGAAGCTTGGTGTTGACGGCTTCCTATTTTTGTGATGATTAATATTATCAAATTATTTCTGCATGTCTCAAATATAGTTCAGAAGCACAACAGCTGCAACCGTTAATCATTCGTCGCACTGAGGCTCCGTTTTCCTTCAGCGCACATCCTTCGGCTATCAACTTAAAAAGAAGCCTCTGCCAGAGAAGTTAACTTCATGTAGTTTTGTGCTTGCCTCCGCGTGTCCGCTAACCCAACGCTTCGAAGGAGCCATTCATCAACGAATGAACCAACCTAGCATGCGGAAGAAATTTGAAAGCAGTGAATTTACCGGAAGAGTATTATGTCTGCCTTGTTTAAGCAAGCTGGCTAAAAAACAACATTGGAACGCCTTACCTCTCGACTTAAATGTTGTGTTCAAGTCGGAACTTCCTCTCGGAGTCCACTAACGAACATTAAGCTGAAGGCCGCATGAGGAACAATGCAGATTTGTGTATTATATACCCGGTAAATGAAGTCTACAAGTGTTTACCCGGCACCCGATGCCTATACCCGGAAAGTGTAGTGAAGTCTACATCGGCACACGGGTAATTCCATCGAAGAAAGACGAAAGACCCACATCCTCAACCTGATGAGGTGGAACAAGGCTGATTTAAGAGGAAAAGGGCATGACGACGAGGTCTGCCGCGAATTGAGGCAAAATGCCAAAGCAACTCGGCTGTTGTTGAATACTGTGTTGGAGGAAAATCATGAAATAGACTGCCAACACACCAATGCAATCTTTGCTGAAATGTACTTTAAATTTAGACACCTCAGGGAAGCGCCATTTATTCATTTCGATCGATGCATGAATAGGATCAATAACGTAGACCTGGGCAACCTGTAATAATGTGCGGTCGACACCGTTTCCCACTCGGCCCAAAATTTTACCTAACGATTTGGTCTTGCAGATCTGTTTGCATCACTGTCTTGACAAAGAATACGGTAGGACTCGTAACATCGGTGTTTTGTGTAATGAAGTCATATGGGGAGCAATTTTCTTAAGAAAATAAACATCATGGAATTAATCTCCCACATGGAAGAAGAATGCTTAATTTTCAAAATTTCTCAGTCTGGCAAATAGGCAAACGATGACAAACTTTTAGACATGTTGATCAGCCGTTAGGAAGATTACTGATGACCGAACATCTTCCTTTCAGGGTGTTAATGACAACGCATACATGTTGTGATAACATGATCAATACTGATATCAAATACTTCCTACGTTTTTCATGTTTGATACAAAGGATGTTTTCGACGCTTCCTGATATCATTCACATATATAATTCCACAAAATCATACGGCCATGTTGTCCATCAGCCATTGGTTCGTTGTTCAGAGGATAGGTCACGTTTAAAATGTGTTAGGTGCTTTCTTTAATTATTAATAAGGATCGTGGTCCCAAATCTTTGGGTTTGAATTTTTATTCAAAGTGTTGTTCTTCTGAGTGATGTAACTTAAAAACAGAAAGCGTCGTGTCAGCTATGGTTGCCAGAGTCCCATTAGTGGAAGTTTCTCGGACTTGAGGATTTGCCTTCACGGCTGTCAGAAGTAGCTCAGGATGCATTACATCACTTAGACATCCACTTTTAGTTCGTATCCTTATAATAATAAATGTTTATTGTAAATTTAAGGCAATCTATTATGATTTGCATTTCATTAGGGTTGATAAATTAGAGATTAGGATCAACTGTCCGCATTCATTCGCAACGACAACAAACGCGCTAAAATCCCCTCCCCGTGTCACAGGCATAGTCATAAACAATGTCACAGAATGACACATGTCACATAACTCCAACAAGATGAGGTTTCACGAAAAATGGCACCACCCCCTCACTTCTAGCTGTATAGAGGGCCATTTCAGCAGGCAAGAATTTCACGGCATTTGAGCTACTGTAGTGCCAGATGCATATTACGCTCTTTTGCTGAACAGAACCTGTTTCATGTGCTGGGGATCAATACATTCTATCACATGAACATCAGAACATTTAGCGCTCATTTTCGTACTGTTTGTCGAAAGTGCTGCTGACAATTAGAACGAATCTTAGCATAAGCTAGGAACTAGTTATTAAGTCAAAAATATCTGAATGGATCTTAAAAACATGAAACATGGTTGAATGGCCATTGCGGTTAAACTGATCGTGTGCGTAAGGAGCTATGATGAGCCCTAGTTGTTACCGTTCATTATTATGTGTGTCTGTTTCACTCTCTTTATAACATGAAAGGATCAGACAACAAACAGTCAGCGTTTGATGGAGCAATGACCTTAATTTGACATAAGCAACTAACGGTAGCCTGTTACCGTAACAGACAGCAAGTTGATTTTGTTACCTTGCTTACCTTGCTTTACATTCAGTTCGTTGAACTCTCGCGTTTCAGAAGTCGAAAAGGGCGAAGACACAGTTCATGTCTACAAGGATGGATACAAAATTGAATACTTTGGCATAGTCGACCCGCACTACTTTGTATCCTGGATCCTTGATGTTTGTACGTCTTCTTATACCTCGTGTGATTACATTTGTTGTTCAGATTCCTGACGACCCACTTGTTATTATAAACTCGAAACACACAGCAAATGAATGGAGCTCGCTGAAAGACTCTCATGTCAGAATGATTGGCTATTTCAGTCCTGGAAGTGAAGGTAAAACTATTTAATTGATAATCACGTGGTCATTTGTGTTATTTAGAGTTGAAAGATTTCGAAGAAGCGGCAGAAGATTTTATGGGCGAAATAAGGTTCTTTGCAGTAGTCGATACTTTTGTAATAATGCCAGGGAGGTTTTCTGTCATCATCTCATAACCGTGTATTTAGTGGGCTCGAAGCATGGGCATCACAAAGCTTGGTGAAGTTCGCATGTACCGTCCTTTTGACAGCAATCCACTGGTAGCACCACATACGGTATGTTGATTAACCGTTTCCAACCTTACAACCACTGCCATTTCAGGTCGATACAGAGGAAGAATTCGAAGAATGGGTCAACGAAAACAGGGAGCCGGTCATGCAGCAGTTAACCTATGAGAATTATTTCAACGTGTGGGTAAGTGAAAGATGAGTGCTATTGTACGTGTTCATAATTATGAAGAATGTTAGAATACTTAAGTATAGCATATTGCTGTAGCAAAGAGTAAGTATATGCTTTTAAGCAATTTGAGGCTCGGAGATGACAATACTGCATAGAACAAAGATATGCAACTCATAATAAATTGAAGAGAAAGCGACTGTATAATCGAATAGCGAACCAGTGCAAGATAGCTTCCAATTTGTCATTAAAATGGCAGTAACAGCTATGAGCAATATTTACACCAATCTTATCAGGCATTTGTATCAGAGGTAGTCGGACAATTCCATGCCTCGAAAATACAGCCTCTGGAATAGTTGCTGAGTGCCAAATAAAGTGCCAGTATGGTCGCCTATATACCAGGGTGAGGATCCAGATTGTGCTTTGTATGCTGATTTTCTGCAGTTGTCAGGTTATAGGATGCTCACCGATACATAGTGACATCCTTGAGTTGGAGCAAGCCAATTGTTTTAATTCTCTTGTGTCAGTTCACCGTTCCTCAAATTTCATGCGTAACAAACCGAAGCCAGTCATAGAATGATATTCTTTACAATTGTCGCGATAAAAATACATGATGCATGCTTTATGGGTGCAACGATACTTTACACTCGTGAAAAAATAAATTCCTGAAAGTCGCATATGCATAATAATTATGAACATTATTTCAAGTTGATGGATATTCCGCTTCCCAACGATTATGCAAATGTGCTAAAAATATGTAAATTTGGACGATACAGTATATCTTTGGTTTAATGGACCATTTGGGAAAGGTCCACTTAAATTCAAAAGTCTGTAAAATGGCGTCTCCATGAAACCAAAATACGTTAAATAACAAATTATATATTTTAGAGCACAGCGTGAGCCTTGTATACGTGTAAAATAATAAATTTCTCATAAGCATTACATTTGTTATTCATACCTTTATTAGTACCGTAAATTAAGAAGTGTTTAAAGCAAGAAAAACATGACTTTATGTTATTCATTGCCGGAATATGAATCGCTTTTCTCTCCTTCGATGTCTACTATAAGCTTTGGCGAAAGATTGGAGTCATCTCAACAGGAGGTAGTTGGACTGGGTGATTCAGAGTTTGGTTCGCTAATTGGCTTGAAGAAATCATCCAATTTCAATTGTGTTTCGGCATATTGCTTCCTATTTCATACAATAGTAATCTCTCTAGAAGTTCAGGGAATAATGAGGAAGTACGGACATCGACACCAAAAACAAAAATGGAAAAATTTATCCGTTAAGCTGAAATCTGTTATATTCGAATCAGGTAAAAAAACAATTTACTATATTGATGTACATATATTTAATTTAATATCTTCTTCATCTTCCATGACCGCCTCTCCTTTCCGGTAGCCGAGGCAGACTTGTCAGACAGTGCTTCCAAAGTTCCGGATCTCTTGTCAGAGTCTGACCTATGACAGAAGACAATTGGAGTATTGAACAGACTCCTTCCGTATCTTTGAACCAGGCTAATTTTGGCCGTTCCCTGGGTCTTTTGCCGGTCGATTGGGCAAGAAACAGTTGCATTGCTTTCCTTTCTGGAGGCATCCGCATCAATTAATTTAATATGCATT